CTAATTTTAACCTTCCTCTTCAAATATGAGATATTCAAGAGATCATTATCCTCACTTAGACTTAAGATTGATTTTTAAAAAAATATAGCAGCTAATTATCTTTCATTATCTGTGGCCTTGGCGCAGAATACTATCACATTTCCCTGTTGAGTCTCCATGTTAGAATTAAACAAAGAACTACTTTGAACAGTCTTCAGATTTCGTACAAAATATAGGCACTACTGTCATCCAACTGTTTAACATTTTAAATTTCACAAAATGCATTTTTAAAGGTTCTTAAGTTATGCTGTGTTCAAAATTTGCATGTAGGGAATTTGTTACATTTTTAGGATTTTTGCTAACATGACATTTAGAGCCCTAGATTAAAACAAAACAAAACAAAACAAAACAGTGAGATATCAGTATGGGAGGTTCATGATACCACATACCAAGAACTGGCCGTGTTATATTTGGACAAGGTTTTTCAGTTCTTAGTTTTTCTGGATCAAGGCGTGGGGGTGGAGTTGGATAAAGGAGCTGTAGCTTGAATTCTAGTGAGAAGGAAAAAAAAAAAACTCTGGGAAGGGGATTAATATGTAATTTTAATTTTTTAAACTTTTGTGAATTTTTTTTCTTTAAGCACAGGAAAACTAGTCAGTTAAATGCAGTGTAGGAACAGTTATTTGAAATTATAACATACATGCATATATGTGTTTATTTAGCCTGTGATATTGAGAGATCCATGGTTAATACCAAATTTGCTTAACCCTGGCACAAAATGGAACTCCTCATATAACTGAATAATTATACAGTAAAATTCACATAATGTGAAAAACTTTCAAAACATTGATTGAAAGATAAATGTGTGAATGAAAGTACTTCTGATCACAGCCACTAGGAGGAGCAAGTAGGTGGGAATGTGAACAAATTTCTAAAGAGTAATAGTACAGGCTTTTGGTAATTTCTAGTATCTGAAATTATGTAGTACTTTTAGAAGTTACGATATTTCTCAAATGTAGAAAATTAATCATTTTGGAGCTATGAATAGTGATTTTAAATTTTGGAGTTTTAAAAACATAAGATCAAGTTTGCTACTTGTTAAAGTTTGTATACATGAATTTTAATTTCACATTAGTGTAAGGAATATCAAAGTTACTATACCAGTAAAATAGAATTCTTCAGTGAGCTAAGCTGAAAATAATAGAGCTGAGTGTTCTGATTTAGAAACTGACTTCTTCCCTTCTTGCACTTGTAAATTGTTGGCCAGTCTATTTAGACTGAGAAACACTTTTCTAAGCTTTATTTCCAAATAAAATGTTTGAAAAATAGTAATGATTCTTCCTGCAGCCCATAAAGTAGCCAGTAGATACAAGGGTTATGCGTATAAATTTTTTAAAAAAATGGCTTTTAAAATTTATTTGGTAATCTATTTTAAACATTCCAAAGCTAAGTTAACTGTATCAGCTTTCTGTTGTTATAATGCTTGGGGTCTGTTTGAAAGTCTCAATCATTTTAGATCTTTTAAAAGTGTAATTTGATTGTTTAAGAAGCAATAAATACAAGGTCAAATGTTTGAATGAATGTTTGAATACAAAATTGAAGAGGTGAATGAAGGTAAATATCATAGTACTAAATTGTATTTTTATGAAAATAATATACCTGAAGTGATAGCTCTAAAGTATTTCAGTGTTACAGAAAACAGCAAATTATTACATATTGCAATCTAGCATAAATATATAGTTTATGGTTCTATATAATTTTGTAGCAGTGGGTGATGGAGATGCATCTTAACTTAAATTCATGATATTTGTATGTTTGTAAATATTAAGCTGCTCAGGCTTGAAATCATATGTAACCATTTGAAAATCTGCCATTGATAAAAAAGCATGTGTCTAGCTTAAAGTCTTATTAAAAGTTTCTCAGGTATTATAATTTTTCTTTTAAAAAGAAAGTAAAATGACAAGTTTTATTACATGATAAAATCGTTTTCCAGTTACTGCCTGTTGTATTTTAATTTTCAAAAGATGAGAACAAGACAAAGTTAAAATATTTTGGCATTCTAAATAGTTTTGCACTTTTAGATTTTCAGCAGAGAAATAGCTTTGCTTTGTCTCATGGATTTTTATGATAATTTTTCAAGTTATTAATGTGTATTTATGTCTTATGGATTGAAGTTCATGGAGAGAATATTACTATAAAATGTTCGGTTACTTCTCACACACGAACACACACACAGACACTCACTTTATCATTTGGCTTTAAGAGTGTTGATATCTTCAGTCTGTTGGAATAGTTCTAAATTTAAGTGGTGCTTGAATAGGAAAATTCTACACTTTTGTTTTGAGATATCTAGCTTATAAAAATGTTTAATTGGTGACTTTAACCTTGAGAGATAAAGGCACCAAGAGAGACTTCAGATTTTTACAACCATGTTTTTATTTAATACCATCAGATTTCATTCGTAAATGAAATAAAAAATTCATGGTTTGAATGAAAGTTACTGTTGAGGTGTAATATTAATAGGGCCTATTAGAACTTGTTTAATCTTAATTTTAGAATGGAATGCTTACATGTCTTAAAAATGTTTGCTTTTTATGATTATTAACTAATAGATTATTGAGTTTTGCTGTGAAATTAAGCAAAAATTAGGTATTTGATAGATTTGTAAAAAATTTGAGTTATCTTTGAGTTCCTGAACTATGAGCTGCTATGATTGTTGCTAAAATAGTTTATTGGATTTATTTCTGCCCTGCACACATACCTTGAGAGTAGTTCTTTACTACGTATTAATGTATCCTGGAAACACAGTAGCTACATTTAATATTATTTTGGCCTTATATTGCTATTTATGGATATTTTTATAACAAAATATTTTCGTATTATGTTTTTGAATTTCACTTTAAAAATTATCACCAACAACCTTCTATTTGATCATTTAGAATCAGTCTGTTGCTTAAAATCAAAGCTCACTATTTCAAATGGGGGAATTTTTAGCAACTATCAGTATTTCTTTGTTTAAAGTTGTATTCATGGACTCTGTAATCACATGCAAATCCACTGTGATGGTGTGCTCTGCATGAACTCCCTGCCTATGTGATCCTATGCAAATGCTTTCTTTTTGGTATCTTATCGTTGGTAATTCTTAAAATTTGTTGCTATCTTAGATTGTGATCATTATCTCTATTTGGAGAGATGGATATTGGAAGGAAAATTTTGTTACTAAAAGCTGCTATATATTAAGGTTTTGTTTTAAAAGGACTAAAAAAGCTCTTGATAATAAGATCATCTTTGATACTATTTATTGTAATTTCATTGCATTGTCTCTTGATAGCCATATTTTAAGGGAGCACTGTAATTTATGAGATAAGGGTTCAATTTGACCTAATTTGGCAGAGGATCGCTGTTTGCTTTAGAGGGCTACAGATTTTTTTTTTTTTTTTTTTAAGTTTAATTTCTCAGAGAATTTTTTAGGCACATCTTGTTATTATTTGCCTTTTCTCTCATATACGTCTGTAATCCGTAATTACTCCAAGCTAAATATTTACCTGAATAAAGCAGTGACAGCTTATTCTAAATAATGACACATTTTAAAATATATTTAGAAACCCTTTCATAGTTTCAAGGGCAGTGAACTGTATGAACTTGTTTATCAGAGACTAGTGCCTCCAGGGCTAAAAAAGGCAGCAGACATTTCAGTGGCTATCACACATAAGATATCGACATACCTTCCTTGGTCAGGCCATTTGTGTGGAGAGGATTATGCCCACTGAACGTACTTTTGGCTCGCCATCACTTCAGCAAAAAGATGCTATCGAACATGCGCACATCCCCCAATAGTCTGCCTCCTGCGATTGCTTTTCACAGTATCCAAAGTGTCCATCTGTCTGCTTGTCTTCCAGGCACCCTCCTTCTTCATATGGGTCCTAGTCTTCTGAGGCTTTCCCTTTCTTTCATTTTCTCTTTCTTTAAACAAAAGAGCTGTAGTTGTCCGTTCTGTTTGGAGCACTGTTGACTCTTCCCGACAGTTGATGCATTGAAGCTTTTTACATCTGCCGTTTTCCTGGCCGGACAATGCAGTGCTGTGTTCTCTTCTCAGTATCCATATTTCTAGTAATAACACGGAGCTGCAGTGTAAAGCAGCCAGAGCTAGAATGGAATGCTTCAATTGTATTGGAAAAGAGCAGGGTTTAATTCTCTTTCGTTGTTGCCTGGCAGCTGCAGGAAGAATTCTGAGCAGTTTTACTGGGGTTTTAGTCTATAACATGAAATCCATGTAAACGGTTCCTCAGCTGCTGCACAGGCAGGCAGCAGTTTAAATGTGGGCTTGACAGATGCTCTCTCTGACAGAGCAGACTTGAACGTCACTGCTTGGCTGAATCCCACGTGATTGTTTGCATTAATTTGGACTAAAAACCTAAGGTAGGGAGAAGCTTGGGGATATTGCTTCTATGTGATTATATATTCAGTACAAGGGAAGTGATGGGTGAATTGTATGAAAATGAGATGATTACGAAATGGTTATAATTTTATTTTGTCCATCTTTTTTTCCTTTTTTACTTTATACTTCAGCACAGGCTTTCTGAATGTGTTCAGTATTAGATATTGCTTTTCATGTTTCTTATGTGATTTCATTGGGCATAAGCAATATAAGCTTTTGTATGTAACTTGGTATAATTTAACCCCTTCAGTGCACTTGTTCCCTTGAAGTTTTCTTTTTTCCCCTCAAATTGCACTAATTTTACCAATATCTAGTAAAAACTCAGACCCCTCACACCCTTTTCTGTGGTTTATTTAAATCAGCTGCCATAGATTGCTTTACTGGCACGTGATGTGATACAGCCCACTTCTTTTTTTTTTCCTCTTACATGGTTTCGAGTATTCCAGAAGGCAGCAAAACTTTATTTTTAATCACTTAAATGTCAGAATTTATTTTTTATTTTTCCTTTTCTTTAAAATTACATGTATGATAGAATTCAACAAAGTGATACAGTAGATACAGCACACTTGTACAGGATCTTCTTGGTGGGTCATCAGGTTTTACTAATCATATTTACTTGTCCTAATATTTTAGGATGGGTTAGTAACTTTCTATCAAGCAGATTTTTTTAGTTAGCACTAGATACTTGGATATTTCTTTGTAGGGTTAGTCCCCTAGGCATTTTGCTTCCTTTTTTTCCTGCGGAGTACTGAGACACTTTTTTTCTTTTTTTAAGCTTGAAGTATCAGTTTTTCATGACACTTTAGGGACATTAACTCCTAGAAATTAGGTTCTGGAACTTAGGCTATATATCTGTTGTCATAGATACGCTTCCTCCCACCTATCTTCCCCAGCAAAGTCTGTAAGTTCAAATATAGATTTACATTACTTCTAATATTTAAAATTTTTTGTCCTCATTGTATATTTTTAGTATGGCTGATGCATGTGGTTTGTAGTTTTAGGAATCCTTTGACTGCCTTTTAGGAGCGCATGTGACTTTCCTAGAAATCTTAGAAGGAACATTAAGAATTTTTAAATGGAGACTTCAGGCCTAGAGCTTTGACTTTCTGTGTCAAGTATGAAAGAGACTTGGCATTTAGTCCTTCTGTCCACCGTACCATGTGCTCACTGTTCTTTTTGTTTGTTTAATTTAGGTAGCAGAGTAGTGCTTAGTGCCTACTTAAAATAACCGATTTTACAAAAGTAGACGTTGATTTCAATAGATCAGTATTTATCAGCAATGCCTTCCATAGGATTTGACTTTGTAGCTGGCAGCAGTATGACCATTTTTTATTAACTCAAAGTCAGAGTGGATGATAAGCCTACCTGAGATGGTAGATAAATGGTTTTAATACACATTTAAAGATGAAGAACCAGTGCTTAGAGCTGTAAATTAATTATTCTTCTAAATATTAACTAATCGGTGATGAGAAAGACTCCAACTAGGAGTTGTCAAGACAGTTCGTCCAGGTCCTTGTGCACGGCTCTTGAACATTACGCTACATGGTGCTGCTGGACAGATCGCGGGAATTTTTTTCTAGTACTAGCGCAGCATACCCAGAAATCACTCATAGAAGTATAAATGGATGTGCACACTTTTACTTTATTTACCTGTTCAGGAAACACGCGTTGATCAACTACCATGTGCCGACGTTTGTAGTTAGACACAGCTTATTCGATGTTTGGGATCCAGAGATGGTGTAGCCACATTCCCTGCCTTTTCTCTAGGAAAGACAAAATACTTAACTTTTGCTAGTTTTGTCCCCCCCCCCACACACACACACAAAGTTGCTCTTGCAACTACAGAGTGGAAGAGTTTAGCACCCAGCGCCACCTCAGTGCCACCTCAGGTTGAATGAGAAGGTAGAGCCCTTGAGGCACTAGAATTGGCACTGGGGGAGGAGATCGATGTCGGTGACGGTGACGAGGAGGTAGAGGATGAGGAGGAGGAGGAACGCTGAGCTCCCCTGCTGGCCGCAGGCTGCCAATACAGAGGGCTGCTGGGCCCCCAGAGAGGCTGGTGGTTCCCTGCCCTCAGTGGGGACACCCCAGGGACAGGGCCAGAAAAACAGAGCAGGCATGAGATAAAAGTTCCTTCAGTGCTTTTTCTAGTAACCTGCATGTTTCCAGCCAAGAGAAACTGTAAAAATCTTATGACAGGCAGGCTTGTAGAAGTTCTTTCTTTAGTTTCTTTTAATATCTGAATTCTTTGGTTAGACCTCAGTAAATGTGACAAGTTTCTTTGTCAGACTTAGCAAACTGGCAGATATTTTGTTAAGTTTTATAGTTATAACTGTCTTGTGATTTTGACTTGCATAGGTCTACTTTTTAATCTGTAACACATCCCTGATGGGAAATAGGCAGTTTTTACTAAGTGCATTATGGGTGGGTTTTCAGGTTTCCCCGAACCTATCTGGAATAGACCAGGCCGCAAAGAGTCAGAATTTAAAGACGATTTGCAATACCTCTGTCAACCTTAAAAATAAAATAGCCATTTGTTTTACCAGCAAAAATGAATTTGTTCAGGAATGGCAGAGGAATGGCAGTTTGGGACATGCAAGCTATGACAAACCATAGGCAAGTCTGAGAGGAACTCAGGAGAGAGAACAAAGGAGCGGAACATTACTTTATAGAGAAAAGTTGGGAGGGGATGCTTTGACCAAAAGGCCATTGGAGGAAAGCAAGAGTTTAAGGTGGTGATGGATTCTCATTGGCTGAGTTGTGGCAGTTTCCCATTGACTAGGGTGTTGTTGGGCAGGGGGAAATCGTCCTTCCTGCAGCTGTGACAGTGACAAAGAAGTAAGCTGTGTCTGGTATGGCATGAAAGGCAGGCTTCCCCTGTGAGGTCTGCACAGCAGGGTGGTGCCTGAGTGCTCCCTCGGGGCTTTCTAGCTTCGATTGTAGATAATATTTCTTTATTTATTTGTACACCTCCCAACTCTTAGTTTCTGCTAGGTACAGAAGTAATTATTATTTTTTTAGTTAATAGTTTTGCAGCGATTATTACATGATGAATCAGGAATAGATTTACTCATTAGTAGTAAAGATAAGTCTTTTTGTGGACTTGTAGTATCTGTTTATCTAATCTAGAGAAATTCAACTCAGTGTCCTTGGTAAAAAGAATGAGGGAGGAAGGGGTGTTGGGGGAACGCTTCAGCTGTGATGGACGATTTCTGTTTGTGGAGGATGAGCAGCTGTCCTTGAGTGACGGGAGAAGGGAGATGGCGTCTGCACTGGTCTCCTTCCTCTCCGTGCTTCACTGTGAGTACTTGGCCCCTGAGTGCGAGGCGTGTATTTCAGCCAGTGCTCACCTGAAGAACTAGCTGTTTTTCCAGTGCTGGAGAAAAATCTTAATGTTTTGGATTAGCTGTACTTTCCACCATAGTACTCTGAAAACGTCATTTGACACAGTTATTTAGAGACCAATTTTAGTCTAACTGAGACCAGTCAACAATTCTGTGTAGTAATGTTTGTGTGGAGTTTATATCTTCACTGTTTTGACTTAATATTAGATGAATTTTTTTCATTACATAAGCGATTTGGATGAATGGCATATTTTTGGCCATTTAATTTTAGTAAATCATTTTCCCTTTTTGAAGAAAAAATGATTGTTTATTAAGAGTTTAGAATTTTCCTTTGAAGTCAATAAATGATTTATGAACCAGTTTTACTGTTCTTTGAATTTACAAAGTGGGAATTAGCCTGATTGCAAATTAGCAATCTCAGAACGACCACAAGTGTCAGTGTTTGCCTGCCTTGTTTTTGTCCTTCAGTTTTCACCAACTCGTGCAACAGGTATTGTTTAAGAATCTATTGACTTGAAAGCAGAGCTAATTTTAAGTGTCTCTTTCAGAACTAATGGTAGACACCTTTATCTGTTTTAATTCATATAAGCCATTAATGATCCTAAGGGAAAATATAAGCATTTAAAATGAGCAGTAATGCGGCAGACACTTCTTTATAGTGTCCTTGTACGTTCTTTGGCTTCTCAGTAGTGGAGCTATTTCAGTTGAACTCACATCAGCTAGAATCTGTCTATTGTTATTTGGTACATGCAGGGGATACTCTTGGTTAGAGGGGTGATACTGGGGAATAATACTGCTTTCTAGGAGGTGTTCTAGAAGTTCGGGAGGGAGATTTTGGTTGACAGAGTTATCAAAAGTCATCTAGTGAGTGGGGCCAGGTGAGGTAGTCTAGTGTGTGGGACATTCTTTGAAAACAGCATAGGCTACTTCTATGTTCTGTAGAACTTCTGACTGTCCCATTGGCTATCTGGATGTGGGCAAAAGCCTTCTTTATAATTAAAGAACCTAAAACACAATTGGAATACAAAGTATATTTTGTCAAGTTTTAAACATGCACAGTATTTTTCCTAAGAATTTAATTCCAGTGTATATTGGAAGGAAGATTGTACTTAACTTTATTCTGAACTTTGCCAGTAGTTCACCATTCTGAAAAATCATGTTACTTGTAGTGGTGTTGGTCATAATAATTATTGAATCACCAACACAGTATCTCAGTTTGTGGGCATTAGTAATGGTTAAATTCACTGTGATTTTATTTACAGGTACTAGTATCAGATTACTTAATTAAGTCTTCTGGTATAATCAGGTCTGAGACTCACATATTGAAATACACATTGTTTTAATTTCTTTTTTTTCCCCTCGCTCTTTAATTCTCTCCACCCCCCACTTCCACTTCTAACGTACGGATGTTGCCGTCTCCCCTTAAGAACTGGATCTCTGAAGGTGGGGTGTCTCCTCTCATGCACTTACTGTGCGCACCTGGGGCCTGGCGCCCCTGACACACTCGGGAGGGCCTGGCACACTCGGGGCCAGGCGCACCTGGGGTATGGTCCATGGCTCCACCTGGGGCGCGAACCCCGGACCTTCTGCGTGTAAAGCAGACGTGCTAACCACTACACTATGGAGCACACCTATAATTTCTTTTAAAATTTATTTCTATAAAGAAAAATATTTTAATAAAAAACAGCGTGAATATGATTGAAACTATTACACTAAAAGTAGACAACTTTTTAAGTGTCTTAAGCATTTCAGAGTCATCTCCTAAGTATTTACTTGATATACTTCAACAAGTAGCATATTTCCTGTAGATATTACATGCTTAGTAATTAGTTGATATTTGTTACTTCGGTTTTTAAAATATTTTTAACCACTCTTACATGTAACAAATCTCATCTTTATAACTAGGATTATTGTTCCTGAATATTTTAAAGGCATTTAATGTGAACTGCTTGTGTTTTTTTTAATGCCCTCCAAAGTAACATTGTTTACATTTTTCTAAAGTGAGGTCATGTATTATTTATTCATTTTGAGACCATTTAAGGGGGAAAAAACTGACTTGATTTAAAAACTCGATTTAAGTGAAATTTCTGAGTTGTTAAAATTGTTAACAATTAAGCAAATCATTAACTATTTGAATAATATTACACACTTACAATGACTACTGTATGTATGGTAACAATTTAAATTTATTTTTATTTGATTACTATTTTTACCTCATGACCAATAGCATAGAAGATAAAGTTTTTTTTTTAAAAGCTCTTAGGATCATAGCATACTCAGTGGAGTGACTGAAAGAAAAATAGATGTAGAATTTCTTTGTAGTAATGTAATGGTGTTTAATTGTTACATAAAAGGAACTTTGATATCACATATCATTTTTTATTCTTTTAAAGGAGGGTGCGTCAGCTCGCAAGACTCAGACTCCCGCAGCACAGCCAGTACCCAGACCAGGTAAAAATATAAAACTTTGGTTTTTGTTTGTTTGTTTGTTTTTTTCCTAAGTGATTCAATAGTGGATTTTCTTTTTTATATTTGTAATACTTTGAAAGAATTGAAATTTTACTTAAAATACTTCTAAAGTAATATGTGACCATTTACTTGAAAATAGGTATAGTTGAAGAGTTTAAGAAATGTTTCTATTTTAAGATTCTAGAAAAATGCTTTAAAAAGCTGTTGATAATTACCATCCTCTCACCAATTCCTTGTTTGAGTTCCATGAAGGTACATGTGAATGTGATCGCCCCCTTGTAGCAATATAGAACCATAGTTTTAATAGACTGATGTGCAGCTTTGATACTTAAAGTTTCAAATGTCATGTTATTTAGCATATAGGGTCTGTAATCATTTTTTAAAAATGTGTTAAAGCAAAGGTAGTATTGAAGTTATTTTAAAAATATTTTTCTTCCCTCTTGGTACTTAAAAAGACTGATCTTTATAAATGCACATACATACCAACACTAAATTTATTTTAGGTGTCTTGGGTTTGATTTTGCTGTTTGTTTTAATTTTATATTTAGCATAATTTCAGTGCTAGGCTATAACACCTGTCTTTTTTTACGTCATCATTGCTGTTGAAAGTGACTGAAGAAAATGAAAAGGGCCGGAAAAGCACAGGCAAGAATTTTACTGGGTGATCTTCCTCTTAAATTTAGTACTATCAGTAGTGTAGATTTGGATATCTTTTTATTTATAATGTTGTACACAGGCTAATTCTAAAAATATGTAGATTATAAATATTAAATATTCCTGGAAGCACTTTAAAAGTATGGTATTAATATTATATGGGGTTTATATTAGAATGGTTCTGTGTCCTGGATCTCGAAATGACAGTGTTTACCTTTTTAAAAATGTTAGCGGGTTTGTTTGACGTCCTTGTCATTCCTGTTTTTGAGGAAGAACGGAGAAAGAGTGCTTCATTAACCATCTTGAATTTGGAGCACACTGGATATTATTGGTTTCAGATGACAAGAATGTAGGACTATTTTTAAGTAGACAGCACTATTCCAAAGCCCTTATGAAAGTATAAGGAAGAGCAATTAAGTTCAGTAAATAGTATTTGAATGTCGTCCATGTGCTCAGTGTCAGCAACTAGGAAAAGCTAAAGGGGCTCTTTTCAGGGAGGAAGGAAATCGTGAAGGAAGTAGGGATGAGTGGGCTGAGTTGGGCCCAAAGAACACAGCCTACAGAATGGAGGAGTGTTGTGGCGGCAGTTAAATGAGTGATAGATGCAGAATTGCTTGTTTTTCTTTAGAATGGAGAGATGGGAGGCTCTAGTTTGTCAGTCTAAAGAAGATCCCGTGAGATGTTTAGTATAAAAGGATGGAAAGCACCACCTGAGGATTCTAACCAGTTATATGTGTTGTGTGATGTAAAATTGTCTCTCTCGCATTTTCTCAAATTCATTTGGCAAACAAAGAAGGGGTGGGGGAGGCACTGACACCTGAGTAAACCAAGTTGTTCATGTGCCCTGTGTTCAGATGAAGCTCAGGGAGCTGGATTCTGCCAGATGTGTGGTCTTGGGGAAGGTCATATGTAAAGTAAGGAGCTCTGGGTCTTTTCAGTTCTTAATAGTCTATCATGCTTCTTCAGTTCTACCAAGGTGCACTGGAGATTAAACGGGGATTAATCTGAACTAATGTCTCAAAACCAAATTTTCTGATGCCCATTATGTGACGTTAGCTCTTCCTTCTTCTACTCACTACTCCCACAGGTCCATAATTCCTACCCATCATTGTACAAGCAAAGATTATTTTATATGTTTTTAGCACTCATTTGTCTCAGTAAGACCCTTGGTTTGATTGGATGTTAGCACTTTGTCATCTTTATTTGTCTTGATCAGTGAATTTTTGTTTCACAGCAGAAATGTTAAATATATTTGTTTTGGGGTGCTGCTCAATTTTGAAGGAGTATTGTGTAGTATGTGACATTTTCATCTGTATTATCTTTTTCAAAATGAAAGAAATATGAGTGTACAAAACATCTGGCAATGTAATGGTTACAGATGAGAGATTATAGAATTATAGAGTTATTTGTTAGGTGGAGTTCAAACCCTTTGGAAATGGGGCACTGAGCCACCTATGCTTTTTCCTTCAGTGAAGGAACTCAAGGATGGACTTCCACTTTCGATAATTTTTTTTTCTTTATCCTTTCATCAGATATTTATTTAGCACTAATCGTGCTATCCAGTCCCTGGGTAAATTTAATATCTTAAAGTGGATACAGTTATCCCCAATTTCTAACCACTCCTTTAGGGGATATAACTAACAAGAGGCACGATTCCCAGTGGATTCAAAAGCATGAACCTTTGATAAGCCTTCATCCTGGGCCTGATTGTCGTTTCCTTTTACAGGTGCATATCACTGCTCTTCCCACCTCTTTCTGATGCACACAGAAGGCATACTTCACTTTCCAGCTTTAATTCTTTACTTCTACTTCATAGATATTCTGAAATGCTTAGCTGGCCGATAGCTATAGTTTATCTGCTTATTGCTCATGTGAGATTGAGATTTAGCAGCTCTGTGTACTTTAGATTTCTCATGCTAGTCAGTCATCCATTTTATAACCTAGGTGCAGGTTGGAGTACCTCATCCTATAATTTTAAATCTGTGTACTGATGATTTTCAGAATTGTATCTCCAATTCAGACATCTCTTTATTTGATTTTTATTTTTCAATTAGAGTTGACATTCATTATTATATATGAAATATTATATGTCAGGTGTACAGCATAGTGGTTAGATGTTTATATAATTTATGAAGTGATTCCCCCATTAGTTTAGTACCCACCCGGCACTGTAGGTAATTATTACCATTTTATTGACTCTATTCCCTATGCTGTACTTCGCATCCCCGTGATTGTTTTGTAACTACTAATTTGTACTTCTTAATCATACTTCATCCTTTTCATCCAGACTCCCAACCTTCCTCCCATCTGGCAATCACTGGGCTGCTCTATATATGTATGAGTCTGTTTTCAATTTTGTTTGTTTGTTTTGTACTTTAGATTCCACATATAAGTGAGATCATATAGTATTTGTCTTTCTCTATTATTTCATGTAGTATAATACCTTCTAATCCATTCATGTCGTTGCAAATCATAAGATTTCATTTTTTAAGACTGAATAATATTTCGTTGTATATATGTACCACATCTTCTTTTAACAGTTGTCTATTGATGGGTACTTAGTTTGCTTCCATATCTTGGCTATTGTAAATAGTGCTGCAGTAAACATAGGAGTGCATATCTTTTTGAATTAGTGTTTTGCTTTTCTTCAGATAAATACCCAAAAGTGGAATTGGCTGGGTCAGGTAGTTCTATTTATAATTTTTTGAGGAACCTCCAATCTGCTTTCCATAGTGGCTGCACTAAATTGCAATCCCACCAATAGTGCAAGAGGGTTCCCTTTTCTCCACATCTTCGCCAGCACTTGTTGTGTGTTGATTTATTGATGATAGCCATTCTGGCAGGTGTGAAGTGATATCTCATTGTAGCTTTAATTTGCATTTCTCTGATGATTAATGACATTGAGCATCTTTTCATGTCTAATGGCCATTTTTATGTCCTCTTTGGAGAGATGCCTGTTTAGGTCCTCTGCTCAATTTTTAATTGGATTGTTTTTTGGGCGTTGAGTTGTATGAATTTTTAAGTAAATTTTGGATATTAACTCCTTACCAGGGATTATCATTGGTAAATATCTTCTCCCATTCAGTAGGTTGTCTTTCTGTTTTAAGTTTCCATTACTGTGCAAAAACTTTTTAGTTTAATAATGTCCCACTCGTTTATTTTTTCTTTTGTTTCCCTTGACCGAGAAGATAAATCCGAAAAAATATTGCTAAGAGCACTATCAGAGAGTTTACTGCCTGTGTTTTGGGTCTAACATTGAAGTCTCTAATCTATTTTGAATTTATTCTTGAATGTGATGTAAGAAGGTGGTCTAGTTTCATTTTTGTGCTTCTATCTGTCTATTTTCCCCAACATAATTAATTGAATAGACTCTCTTTACACCATTGTATATTCTTGCCTCCTTTGTCATAGATTAAATGACCATGTAGATATGGGTTTATTTCTGGACCTTCTCTTCTGTTTCATTGATCTGTGTGTCTGTTTCTATGTCAGCCCTTTTTTCTCTGATATTTTCCCTATGATGTCTTACTTCACATCTTTCTTCTTTGTTATTGATAAAAGGCACCACCATCAACTCTGTTTCTTAAGCCAAAACCTTGGGAGTTATTTTTCATTCTTCACATTTGCTTATTGCTCTCATCTGATGTCGGTGAGTTCTGTCAAATTTACTTTTTCTGTATTCCAAATTTATCTATTTTCTCTTTATATCCAGTACCACAACTCAAGTCTAAACCATCATGATTTCTCTAGATCACTGTATCTTAAAGTATTATTCCATGACCTGTTTATTTCTGGCTCCCAATAAGATATATACAGAAATTGAGAGTACAGCACTGTCACAATATCCAAGTGTCTGCTCATTTTTCTAGTAGTTCATCGTTACTGCATTTTATTCAGTTATAGCAGAGCATCTTGTACATAGGCTCTGAATAAATATTTAAGTGAAAAACATAATTATATTTGAAATCAAACACAGGAGCAATAATGCTTATTCTCAGCCTGTAAATTGTCAGTCACTGCATTTGCTGAAGCAGTGGTAGTGGTACTAGGGGCAGTAGCAGTTAGCATCAGCTGTAGCCACAGGGTTCAGTAACTGGTGAATAGGTGTCAAGACTTGGCTAAGGGACTTAAGGTGCATTGTTGTTTTTAAGACTCTTACGGCAGTATCGAGAAGTGGAAACTATTATCTCTGTTACGGTGTGGACGGTTGAGGACCGCTGCAGTTGAGCAGTCAGTCAGTTCAAGCGGCCAGGGCAATTTGCCTAGGAAGTGCCAAAATAGGGATACGCATTGAGGTCATCTGAATACAGACTCTTGCTCCTGGTGACTGCCCTGTTATTCTGCTCCCCCACCCCCCACCCCCAATCCAGCTCATCGGTAGCATGGGCCTCACTGTGTCCCTGTGTTGGTCTTACTCACCACAAAGCTATAATGTTCCTGTGTAGTTTTTTATTTATTATTATTAAATCTCTAAATTTAATATTTTTAATATGTGAATTTTTATAATTTTATGCTTACTTTCATTCTTCTTAGCTCTGATTTTAGTGAGTCATTTCCAAAATTACTGAGTATTGTGGGCTCTCTTACCACTTCGGTGAGATTTCAAAGACATCTTTTTTGTATTTCTTCTTAGTCATTCTCTTAGCACCTCCTTTTGCCCGTTTATCCATATATCTGTCCACCCTGTCATTCCTTTATCCTTCCAACATATACTACACATTTGAGAATGTATTATGTTCCAGATGATGCTATCTTGTTAATCAGATGTATCCAGAAGTCATATTTCTAAAAATGACTTAAGAAAGTTTCCGTGTTTTTACACAGCAATTAGATAAGAACACTGTATTAATATGTATGTGCGAACTTATATTTGTGTATATCTTTCTCTGCTTTATGTGGCGGGAAGAATCATACTGCCAAACTCTATAATACCTAACACAATGAACTAGCTGTATACAGGAGTATAAAGTATTAGTCAAAATATACAGTTTTACTACTGTTAAAATGGGACATATTCCAAAACTGTGTGTGCTTCCCTTTAAAAGTGGTATGTTTCGAAGAACTGATGTTTAATTAGAATTTTAAATCTCTTAAATTTTATTTATTTTTATGACTAAAATAAATTCTAGCACAGCCCATGGCACACAGAAGGGTACTCAGTAAATTTTAATTTTATGAATAAATGCAGAAAATTGAACATATAGCATTTTTTATCCTATTTTAAAATACATTAATCTTGATCTAGGTTGATATTACCATTATGCCAACAAGTATTTCTGTGCAATATAAAGTCTGTATATAAATAGTGAAAATATATGAATACTTATGTTTTTTATAACATACATTCATAATTATTAACATGGACAATTCCAGATTCTGATCATCACATGACTCATTGCCTTTAATGTTCTCTTCTTCTGCTACTACTACTAATAAAAAACAATTTTAAAAAGAAGAAAAAAAGGTAATAAATATTTTAGGTTTTAACTCCCAGTAACACTTTTTTCCTCCAAAATGGTTAAGCACATTTCCCCTTTCTAGTGCTTCTCCATCAGTATTATATGCTGTCGTAGTACTTTTTGCATTTATTACAGTGGCAATTAGTTAATTAAGAAATTGTTTATTTGCCTTTTTTGTGGGACCTTAATTCCATGAACATAGATACTCAATACCTACCAATGTGGTATATCCAGTTTTCCTGTTTAGTAAAAAACAACTACAAACGAATATAAATAGGTTCCCTGGTAAATAAAGACCAATTCGACTACAGATTGTTTTAAATGCTAAGGCATTTTAATGTTTTTGTGAAGCATTAAGGAGACATAACTCAGTATTACCTAAGAAGATTGCAATACATTTAAAAATTTTATTACTAGTCGTATGTAAATATAAATAATTTTTAGGCCTTATTCGTTTTTAAAGGTATAAAATAAGAATGTTATTTGCATAACACTCAGAAGTTCTCTTTTTCATTCTCTCAACAGTTTCTCAAGCAAGACCTCCCCCGAATCAGAAGAAAGGTGAGGTTATCCATATGATTCTAAAGTTATTTTTAAAAGTAATTGTGGGAGATGGCTCCATAGTGTAGTGGTTAGCATATCTGCTTTACACGCAGAAGGTCCTGGGTTTGCGCCCCAGGTGGAGCCCTGAGTGTGTCAGGCCTTGTGTGCATGCCGGGAACATGGCGGGGAGACTCCTCGCTTTCAGAGATCCAGTTCTTTAGGGGAAACGACAACATCCATAGGTCAGAGGTGGAAGTTGGGAGTGAGGGGAATTAAAGAGGGCAGGGAGAGAAGTAGTTGTGATTAAGCTAGATTACAAAACCGAGGCTGATCTTATGCTTGTGCAGTTATGGTTAATTGTTTGTGCTTGCTGTCTATTCTAAGTAGTCAGTGCTTAGGTCATACTTATTATTAAAAATAGTGAACATCACTGCTGACTTAACATACTTTTTTTTTGCTTGGAAGAGTTAAAATTACAAATTTATAAACCTTTGACTTTTAATTAGGAGAGTAACTACAATTCCTTTTAATAATGATAACATATTTGCTACCTTTAAAATTTTGTCTTTACAGGATCTCGAACACCCATTATCATAATTCCTGCAGCTACCACTTCTTTAATAAGCATGCTTAATGCAAAAGACCTTTTACAAGACCTGAAGTAAGTAATTTGTTAAGCTATTCTTTTCGTAGGACATGGAGATATGTTCAAAATTTATAGTTAAGAGTCTATCCCTTATTTTGAGAAAACAAAATTTCATTGTGCTATACGCTTTATAGATAGTCTGAAATATAATTTTCAAAACAGAGTATATTTTTTTATACCTGGATTCTTTAGGGAAAATTATAGAAACTTCAGGCTAAAGTCTTAATGAAAAGGATACAATCATATTAATTTTTAATATGAATTGTTTTGTTTTGATTCTACCCTGAAGATCTTGAGTAGGTTCTAAAACAAATTGGGTTCTCTCCCTCTCCCACCTTCTAAGTTCCATTTGAAGTGACAGGAACTTCTGTGTGTTAGATTAGATGTACCCTAGTGGGAAGAGGGTGGGACCATAGTTTTTCAACCTAGACATTGGGAAAAGTCGAAGTGGAAGTGAAACCTATACTTTATGTTAAAATTTCCAGATACTTTCTGAGTTTTTTTTAATTGAGGCGTAATTGATGTAACGTTATATTAATGTCAGGTATACAGTGTAACGATTTAATAATTATATGTATTATAAAATGATTACACAATAACACCAGTTAACAACCATCACCATACATGGTTACAGTTCTTTTATCTTGTGATGAGAACTTAAAGATCCCCTCTCCTAGCCACTTTCCAGTATGCAATATAGGATTATCGATTCTAGTCACCATGGCACACATCAGCACATTCCTGTGACTTATTTTATAACTGGACATTTATACATTTTCATTTTATATTGGGATTTTGTACCTAAATTTTTAATACCTCCTTCATCCTTTCCTGTTTAAAATGAGCATAGTTGTAATTGTAACTCAGTTTATACTAATAAACTTGCATCATGGCATTGGGCACAAAATAAATCTCTTCCCTACTCAATCAGCCTTAGACTTAAAGTTTTAATTTACATATTTTCCAAGAGCATTTATCTTTATTAGTTAATATGATAAATTAATAAAGTTTATTAGGCATGTTTAATCTATATTAGTAGGAATTCAGTCTGCAAAATGTACATTAATCTGTTAAGACACTGGCAAATTTTTAATTCATACTTCTTAATTGTTTGAGTTATACTCGAGGAGAATTAAAAAAGCAAAATCTTTAATAAAAATGTTTCCTTTTTTTTAGCTATAAATGGGTTTTTTGGTTTGGAATACACCCTACATTAGAAGTTTGTATCTAGTAAGTCATACTGTTTTGCCTCAGCTATGAGAGTTACAGATGGATTTAGTCATAACTCTCATGCAGGGAGAGTGCCGTGTATACTGAGTTTGTTCATTCAGCAAACAACAATAACTAGAAAGCAGTGTGCTAAGTGGGTGACTATACCACATGACAATGGTGACAGTGTGTTAGGAGTCATTGATAGCAATTGGTGAGAAATAAAATGCATTCCAGCATTTGGTATTAAACCCAATCTCAGTGCCCATTTTTCAAAGTTTGGTGAAAAGTGTAACTTCCTTTAACAGGTCACAGACTGGAACCACATCTTTAAGATGGGTTCAAAATCAAATTAGACCTCAACAATAATGTATCATTAAAAACTGCACCTAGCTCTCTTCTCACTAATTATGTTTTATTAGAACATACATAACAATAGTAATTTTTATGTAATCTAAAGAAATACTTGAAATTCATTATTTTCTGGAATTAGAGACCTGAAAATGGAATAGAGACTACATCTCGCCCGACCCATCCTTATTCTTAACATGCTGCAAGGGAACCCTGCAGGCTGCTCCTCCTACTTAGTTGCGGAGCAGGATCTCCCAATGACCAGTTTGTTTTAACCTTTGGACACTGGAGTTTCCCAAAACATTCAGATTAAGGAGTGGTTTTTTTCTGAACCCGACAGTATGGAATAGCTCAGTAACAAAAACTCCTCAACACTCAAGGCCTTATGTTCGCTGTTACATAGAATAATAATAATATTTTCTAATCTGAATGGCCTGACATTGAAAATTTTTGTTAGATATTTTTAGTAGTAAATAGGAAAATACATTCACTCAGCATAATATCTAAAAGAAGAATGTGAGTGAATGCTCTACCTTCTTTCTTAGTAAAGTAACACTAATAATTCTTGAAGAAGGAAAAAAGGCAGCCTCACCTACAAAAGGGAAAGCATACTGCTTCTAAATAACTTACGACTAATTAAATATGAGAAGCAAAATAAGTTGTAATGCTTGCTGATTTTGGGTTTTAACAAATGTAGAACTGAATTTTCAGTGGCTGTGACTTAAATAGCTGTATAAAAATCAATGTAACCTGGCATATATATATTCATATGTTAAGTAATTTTTTAGTTAGTGCCTTTGAATGAAATTTCCAGTGAACTTTTTTCCATTAACTGTATGGAAAGGAAGGAATGTGTATGTTTTATATTTTTATATTTTATTAGGCTTTTATAGCGAGATTTAGTGTTCCGACAGTGTTGTGGATTACTCAGGTAATTTCCTCTAGTAATCTACAGTTCCTCAATTGATCTGCAGTTGGGTGAATAGGAATGTAATCATTTTGGCCCACTGCTTGCAGTTGATTTAATAATTGAGACTGCGTTGGACCCATGCAAAAGTGGTTTTCATTGACAGTTTTTTAAAAATGTTTTGTTTTTGTTTGTTATTTATGTACTTTTCATCATTTACAATCTGTGAAATACGATATGCATCAAGTTTTTTGTTTTTGTTTTGTGATGCCATGGCTTCTTGTTTTGCATTCTGGCCACCCAAGTCTTTACAACTAAACTGTGAATTGCTCAGAAAAAATGGACTTGTTATTCTACTGTTATTTGTATTTTCGTTGTTTAAAACAGTGTTTGACAAATAATGAGTATTAAGTAAATGTCTAGGAAGAAAGAAGAAAAGGAGGGGGGACCACACTGAGAAAACTGGGGAATGGTAGACTCTTGTGTACCTGAAATTCTGAATTTATTTTTATGTGTGATTGTGCAAGTTGTGAATTCATTAGTGCATTTATTTCTAATTTTAAATTCTTTTTTTTTTTTTTGATATATGGTAGTCATATCTGCAGCTGTGACTTGATTTTAGTCCCCATGAAGTATCATTATATTTGATATTGTGTTTTTTTACACTTACATTATTTGGATCAGGTGATCTTAACGGCTTTTTCTTGCTCTTTGATTTTTATGATTTGCGAATTTGATAGTTCCAGTTCTCATAACTTTTTAGTAATTGACAACTATAGTTCTTATAAATTTGTCTGAAAGGTTATAGAAAATTCACGGTAAGTTTTTGAAATGTTAAAGAAAGAAACTCTGGCTTTGAATTTTTTTTAGTCTCCAGAACTTTTGTAGTGCTCCTTTGAATGTATTACAAATCTAATATTTAAATATTATTTTATAATAGAAGATAGCAAATGGTGCAAAGAAACCACAAAATAAATTTTAGTGTCTTTCTCCTTAGCCTTACTACAAGAAGCCAAACAGTTCAGAAGACCACATTCTTAGGATAGGTCATGCCTAATTTTTCTTCTAAGTTTCAAACATTCCCTTTATTGTTTAACACCTCATTGCTACTGACATATCCCCTACAGTTTGAGTCAGCTGGAGGCTTTGCTGTGTAGTTAATGCATAATTGCAACCTCCTCCGCACAATTATAGTACTGGCTGTAACCCATAGCTCATGTTGGCATAGGTTCTATTTGGTTTCATGTAAATTGAGGATCCTTCAATTTTCTAGCCCTTTGGTAAGTAAATGAAACAAAACAAAATAAAACCCACCTTAACCTTTTGCATCCTAAATAACAAAATTAAGGTTATATTGTGGAAGTATTAAAAACCACATTTTACATTTGTAAACATGACTTTGAGAGACGTTTTAGTGGGACTGTAAGTTTATTGAAAATAAACTGATTGGATGGCACTTGCGAATCTGGCCATGATGGGAGCCTCATAGGGCAGCGTTCCAAAGAGGAGAAGTTGCACAGAGAGGGTGCTCCAAAGATAGGTAGAGGGTTCCTCTTGCTTTACTCAAATTATTTTCACCACATGAAAGTGAGGAAACTGCTTAAGGCCTGGGAAAGAAGCATGTAGAATAGTTACTGGAGCTTACACCGTATGGTGACTAGTTCATGTTCCCAGCAGCAATGCAAAATGGTTCCACCACTGTGGGCAACATAGAGGAGTTTATTTTTTTCTAAATACATCGAAGGTATCTTCTAGCTTCCTTTGTTCAGCTGATAGTGTGATTATCAGGTCTGTGAAGGAAATCTGCTGTATCTGTTGTTTTAAAGATCATTTTAAGTTTGTTTACCTGGTATACCTAGATGTAGATTTCTTAAATATCCCTCTTTGGGGTTCGTTAGAATTAAATCTGTGGATTGGTGTTTTTTGTTTGTTTGTTTGTTTAATCAGTTCTGTCTCTTACCTCTTTAGATTTTACCTCTGTGTTCCTTCCCCCTCTTCCCCCTCTTTTCCTTGCGAGACTTAAATGAGATATACTTCAACCCTCTTGTTCCATCTTCCGTATCTCTTAAATGATTGCACTTTCTATCTGTTTCTCTGTCACCTGCATTCTTGTTAACTTCTTTAGATTAATTTATAGTTGTCTGTTTCTTTGGTTGTGCCCTAATCTGATGTTAAGTCCATTGACTTAAAATTCAGATATCTTATTTTTCTTCAGTTTTAGTGGTTCTATTTAGTAATTTTTCAAACCTTCGGTCTCTTTTTATAATTCTTTTTCCTTATCTAATTTGCAATTTTTATAAGCTGGTTCCTTGATAATTGCATCATTGAAGTCCTTAGTTATTTTTTTCTTTTGACTGTTGTTTCATTTCTGATACCTCACTTCCTTGTGTGTTTTTCACTCTTCATTTAATATATATTTTTTTATTGTTTTCTTTTATTCATTTCCTTGGAATTTTTTCTGTGAAAATTGTATGAATTCTAGAATGTAGGCGGAAGTACTCTAGAAGAGATTTGAATTTGTGTCTGTTGAGCACTTGGAAGTATCCCCAGTCTAATACCACTTTAAATTCTCCGTTTGAGGTTTTTTAACATCCAGATATTATTTTATTCATTTACTTTCCTTTTTTTTTAATTTAGGAAAAAGGAAATTATATTTTTAACCTGGGAAATATCCATAAACTTGTTCTGTTTTCAAAATAACAAACGTAAAGTCTGGAACTTATCTAGCTACGTCGTCTCATTTCCATTTTATTTTTTGACAATGTTAATAGAATTATTTCAGTAGAACTGTACTTGTTTAGACAGTAATGACTTTAATCACGTTACCCATATTCCTTCACACTGATGGACTATAAAGTAGAATAAATAAATCGCCAATATTAAGTGAGTCATTGGACATGAAAATATTTCTTCAAATCATATCCATCTACTATATCAGTTTTATAATTCTGGTTGTATTCGTTAGAATACTTTTAGTTGTAAGTGATAAAAATCAACTCAAAATAGCTTTATCAAAAAATAATTTATTGGCTCAGCATAACTGAAAAGTTCTGTTTTTAGGTACAGCTGGACTCACTGCCAAAATGGTGTAATCAGGAGTTGCTCTTTGTCTCTCGGGCAGATTCTTCCCCTTCGGGGGCAGAGATGATTGTCAGTCAACAACTCTGGGTTAGCAATTGCAGTACAACAGTCATGCCCGTTTCCCCGTAATTCCAGCAGAAATCTCAGGATTAATCTTTATTGGCCTGCTGAGGATAATACGTTTATTCTGAACCAGTCACTGTGGTCAGGGCTGTTAATTTTTGCTTCCAATCCAGGTGAGGTCCAGTTTATTATTCTGAGATTTGATCTTCCTTGCAATTGCCATTGGTGTTGGTTAGGACTAGGGGTGAGGGGCAGGAAAAAGTGTGGGCAGTGTGTTTATTTCTAGTTTACCACTGCATTAAAATGTCCTCCTGCAAGTTCTAGCTTTATGAAAAAAGGAGCTTCTATTAGATACCCTACGTTGAGCAGAATTTAAGCTTTTTTCCTATTCTAGTAGCCTCATGAAATACAGTGATAAACAAAGCGTAAGTTGAATTAGTTTGCCAGTGCCTTCCATGGATAAAAGTCAAAAGTGTTATTTAACTTCTTTGGATTCCCTTCTTTACTCAGTCTTTGGCCCAAGAGTCTACTCCTTACTAGCTAGCTCAGGGATGCCATTAAGATGTTCTTTATACTTTGTCTTAACGTTGGAAAATGTTCTGGCAGTCTCTTACATAGTTAAACAAACCCATGATCCAACAGTTCCATGCACAGGTGTTTATATAAGAAATGAAAGCATATGTCCATAGAAAGACTTAAACAATAATATTTATAGTAGCTTTATTTGTAATAACCCCAATTTTGGAACTACCCAAATGTCTGTCACAGGAGAATGTATAAACACATTGTGGCATAATCATACAATAGAATTCTACCCAGCAATAAAGAAGAATGAACTACCAGTATGCCCACAGCAGGATGACAATTGGAAACATGAAATTGAATGAAAGAAGCCAGGCACCAAAGCGTACGTCCTTTACGATTCCGCATGTATGAATTCTTGAAACAGGCGGAACTATCTTGGATGATGGAAAGCAGAGTAGCTGTTCCTTGTGGAGGGAGGGAAGATTGGGATTTACTGAAAAGCAGATGAGGAAACTTGTTTTGATACAGATGTTTTATATCTTGATGGGAGTAGGTAGTGCTTACACTGAGTGTACATTTGTGAAAACTTATGTATTTGCGAACATCACTTTATGTAAATTTTATGTCAATAACACTGTGTCCTATATGTAGAAATACCCTGACTGAAGCAATGGGGCATAAATGTGATATTTGCAAAGCATATATTTTCTGTTGGAGGAATGACCTCATTCCCATATTTCCTTGTAGATTAGTTTTCATAAGCGAATATATAGGGAGAAAAATAGTTACCTGTGAGAAATTTTTAAATGACATGGCATCTTTTTCTGTTAGATTTGACATGGATTTGTGAAAGCAATCAGCTCATAAGCGAAGTTCACTATTATCACAATCACCATGTACTAATAATTTTCATGACTACAAAATTAGTATCATTGTCTAATGAATCCAGAATGTGGTATTGAAAAATTTCAAAGGATTCTACCAAGTGCAAGCTCTCATGCATCCGCTTTCCCTTTTAGCATTCTTAAATTTTAGAAGCAGAATGATACTTAACACAGTGATTGCGTTGCCCCCCATTTAATTGGAGAGGCCAGACCATAGCTAATAAAATAGCTAATAGACTGTGTATTAAGACTATGTGTATTTCAAAATAAACAAACAAATAAAAAATAAGACGTTTAAAATACTTTGTGAACACTAATGAATGTAGCTCTGTAAATTGCTGAATAATTTTTCAGAATATCCGTTGATGGTACAGAAAAGAAGTAAACTACATAGTTTTAGCCGTTGACTAAATTACTAGTAGTATTTACTAAAAACAGACAGCGTACGCTGATTTAATTTCTTTTAAAATTTGCAAAGCAACCCTGAAATTTGATGGCATTTTTCTAATTTTACTGAGGCATAAATCGTGCAAAGAGGTGTTTTGTGAAGTTCGTGGATAGGGAGCCTGGCAGTCACATTATCTTCATTTGAGAAGTCAGGGATTAGTGTGGTCTTTTATGTAACCTTGGAGAATGCTAAGTGCTAGATGAGTGAACATAAACTGTGTCTGTATGAGAGAGACACATTTACATACTGACTTAGGGTCTAAGTGAGCTTGTGTTCTCTTTGGCATGCAAAGGAAGACTTGTATTCTTTAAGCATTATGATCTATCTGTACATGCAAAGCAGGTTTATTTTAAAAACATTTTTGGTTTAAAACTCTTAATATTGAAGAAAATAATTTCAAAATCGAATTTTCCTATTTGTACCACATTGGATTGTTTGATGTATTTTTATGTGTTTTTCCAAAGATTTGTTCCATCAGATGAAAAGAAGAAACAGGGCTGCCAACGAGAAAATGAAACTCTAATACAGAGAAGAAAAGACCAGATGCAACCAGGGGGCACTGCAATTAGTGTTACAGTTCCTTATAGAGTAGTTGACCAGCCCCTTAAACTTATGCCTCAAGACTGGTAAGATAATCTATATTTTTTACACAGTAAATTTTGGTATAATGAACACATATCTCATTTTATCATGAACTATAAGTAGAACCTATCTTTGAAATCTATGTTAATGTCTAATTTGCTCATCAGTAATATGGTCTGGTAATTCAAAAATAAATTTATATTTTGGATAGCTAATTTTTATTTTAATTACCCTAAGAAGAAACACTAACTTCTTGAAAATTTAATAAAAAGTCCTTCCATTTGTCCATTTGTTCTGGATCAGCTTTTAGAACTAAACTTTCAAATAGACTAATTTTTGAAGGCCTGTATTTTTAGATTTTTGATTTGAAGAATCCAAATTTTCTGGTAAGAAACGATAAATGAAGGAATTGTTATTTTTATTTTATTTATTATAATTTATTATTTATTATAATGTCCTTTAATAAAATATTGAGATACTTTAAAGTGCTTATAAATTCAAATATATGAATTACCTTAAATTATTTTGTTAATCTAACCTGGAGTAAAAGCACAAAGTCTGAGTGCATCTGATATAGAGAATGTAACACATCGATGCCATTAGATGAAATTTCCCTTTGAAGTACTTGTTAGTCTTTAGAAATTAGAGAGTCAAGCCATTGAACAATATGAGTATGTTAAAAATTTACTATAGAATAAAGAGTTCTTGTATTATAATTCTTCCGTGGTACCTAACCAAGATACATGGGGTAATGTATGAAATAAATAAGATGAAAATTTCATATGTCAAGTTTAAAATTTGTAGGAAGTAGGAATGTTAACACCATTTGTATTATATGTTTGAGTTACTTGTAGAAAATGATAATGCAGGCAGTGCGTACAGGTGCTAGGCAGTGTGTATATTTGCTAGATCCCTAGCCATTGGTATCATTACCTAGGGATAATATTTTCCCTACCTTTCTTCTTTTCTTCCTTGTTAATTGTTCTTTTAGGAATTCACTGGGAGTCATATTTATGTTCCTCTGCTCCCCTGCTAACCCAGTGAGACCTGGTAGGATCCAGGTGATGTCTGTCGAGCAGATTACCTTTAGTTGGCAGGCACCTTGAGCATTCAACTATTGTGTGGTACAAGTTACAGCATAAAATTAAGAGGCCATTTAATAGTATGCTCCATTCCCAAGGACAGTTTTGGCAATATGGGGCATATACTCCTTGAAAGGAAGAAATTTTTTTAAGATTTAATTTTAGCCTTAGAGATTTTGAGCAGGTCGAGAATTTTAAGCTGTGGTTTTTCATAGTGACTGATTGTTGCTGTGTGTGTGTGTGTGTGTGTTTTTAACGAATAGAAGGTGACTCTGTTTTAATGTTTTGTTGGATGTATAGAGTCTTCATCTATCGCCCTTGTTACTTGTGGACCTCTGGGCATTTGCAGGACCTTTTCAGGGAGTTATAAGGTCAAACTCTTTCCATAATAATACTGAGTGCTAGTCTTAAGATTTATCAGTCCTCACACAGGGACAGTAGCACAACCAATGCACAAGATTAATCATTTATTTCCCTCTCTTACCCCTCTCTTCTCTCTCCTCCTCACTCATCCTCTCCCTCCCCATCTTTCTCCCTCTCTCTGTTCTGTAGTATGTCCATGCACTTCTGTTTCCTCATCTGTAAAATGAGGGTTATGATAGAACTCACCTCATTGGATTGTTTTGAAGAATAAACGTGTTAACAGAAGTTGTGTGTAAACTGCTTAGACCAGCACTAGCACACCGTAAATGCTTACAGTAAATCTTACTAATGTTAACGGTTATTGTTGATATTATGATTTTGTCCCCACCACTTTAGTTGTAGGCTTAAACTGCTAATGGCAGTTGTACTTACTATAATTTTTCAATTTAGTTAAATATATTGTAAACTAATGAACTATGAAGGCATAGAAAGAGATTTGTTCTTTTTTAGGAAAACGAAGTTAAATGGTTGGAAAACAAATTACTTTAAGAAAAATGTAAAGAATGTAGGGTGAATGAAGCTTTTGTAAAACAATTGAAAACCTTGAAAACTAGATGGTTTCTGTACTCAGATTACTTTCCAAATAATCAGAACTCAAAAATAAGGCCTTGGAACTTCATAAAATGGTTGGTGAATTACTATAATTTATAATGTTTTAAATTAAAATATTTAAAACATATTTGAATATTAAATGACTTCCTTTTAAAACCAACTTTTTTGATTAATAGATCTCCTGTTCCCTCTTGCATTGGAAAATGGGCCCTTACTATTGTTAATAGAAGGGCAAAGATAAAAGGTTAAAAAGATCACATAGAAGGACTGTACATGTACTTAATTATGTTTAAAAGACTTGGGTGTAAAAAACATATATGGGAAGTACAACAATCATTAATGCGCCCTAATGGTGACATTATAATGAAGAGCTACGGTAATGTGCTTTGTTTGCTCATGGAAGTGTTGACAAGAGACTACTTCATTATGGGACCCTTTCCTGAAGGATTCACATCAACCAAAGCTCATGTTTGTGTGTTCTCTTTCCACTCTCCCCCTATTCCCCTTTTCTGTTTTTAGGGACCGAGTTGTAGCAGTATTTGTGCAAGGTCCTGCCTGGCAGTTCAAAGGTTGGCCATGGCTTTTGCCTGATGGATCACCAGTTGACATATTTGCTAAAAGTAAGGTTCTCTTTATTTTTACTGCTTATCCAATATGGAAATGCTCTTGCTTTATTTAAGAGAAAAAGCTGTCTAGGTTCTGTATATATGAGGTGTATATCAAAAGATTCCTATTAAGTAACATTATATAATGTTATTTTTAAGTACCTGTGAAATATTAATATTTTCTGTGTACTTACATCTAAAAGCAAATCAATTGCCCGTCCCCCAACATTAATCATTACCTTTTATGTTGTTTTAAAATCATTAATATTGTTGCACGTCCATACATTTTTATTGAAGTTGATGACCAGTTTTGAAATAGGCTGACTTTTGCTGTACAGTAACGTGTAACTGTAACTTAAAGTGCTCACAGCACTTTTGCCAGCGAGTCCCATTGTGTAGAGTGGCTGGAGCATGATTGGAGGCTGTTCTTTATTCCGGTCTCAGCTCAAGTATTCTTCCTTTAGTTTAGAGAATCCTACTCTGACCATCCTGGAAATAGCCATTCTCCCCTCCCCGTTACTCTCCAAGTTGTTTTATTTTCATAATAGCACTTACTGTTGCTGGGGTATTGTCTTACTTTTATGTCTCTACTGTAAGCCCCCCGTCTGGAGGGCACACTCTGTGATGGGAGGGCCGTCCGTACCTGCTGCATTCACTTTTGTATCGCCAGCGCATAAGAACGTGCATAGGGAGGCATTCGGTAAATGAGTGGATTTCATGTGCCTTATATTCTTTCTTGACCATATATTGGTCAATAAATAGTGGATGGATTTAGCTTGGGGTTTTTTTGGGGGGGGGAGGCTAACTTAGTAACATTAGTAAAACTACTTTATTAAAAAAGCATTCTCATGAAACAAATGTTTATTGAAAATGACCAATTTAGTTACTTACAGTGAATGTAGATTGTGCTTCTGTGAAATCCACTCTGTTTTTAGTAACCTCCATTTTTGTTAGTGGTGCTAGTGTTCTTCCAGGCTAGAAACTGCCCACGCTTGAAAGATATAATTGTTTATTCACCTACCTTCATTCATTTTAAAAAACGAGTTCTAATATTACTAATATTATGATATCTTTATATTATTTATGAAACTTGAGTAATTTACAGAGTTGATAAATAGAAAGTTAAAGATATATGGAGAATAGGAATTTTAATGAAAGTAATGTCAGTGAACACAACTTTTTGTTTTATCTACTTGCCTTGTTGAATAGTATTATAATAAAAAATGATTAGAATGCCTTCAAGATGTAAATGCTGTCTAAATTTCATTAAGTATATAACTATGTTTTGTTGTTTTCTTCAGATTGTTAGTCTTCTGAAATTTAGTTTGAAACTTAGAAACTTTTTAAAAACAGTTATTAGTCATGATTTTCTTCCGTGGATTATTCTTTTTCTTCAGCTTTCTTTACTGACTCCTTTCTGTCAGCATTTAAAATGAAAATATTCTTGCCCCTTCCCTCTTAACCTCACCTTGACCTCACCTTTCTTTCTAGCTCCTTCTCTTTTTCCTTCTACAGCTAAGCTTTTAAAAGAATTGTCTCTCTACCCACTCCCTTTCTTCCATCCAGTTCTCAATCCACTGTAGTCTTGCTCTCTTGGTTTCCAGAGTTATTCCCACCAAATGCAGTTACCCAAACATCAGATACTTTTGACCTCTTTATCAGAATTGAACTCTCTGGACCCATTTCTTCGTTTATAAAATGTTCTTTTCCTGTTACTTGTTATTCTTTCTCAGACTCTGTAGCCTACTTTTCCTGTCTTTCACCTATGTATTTATGTTTCTGTTTCTCTTCTCCTTTAATTATAAATGCTCTCTTAGGGAGATTGATTGTTTTCAACTACCACCTACATCTTCTTATTCTAAAAGTTATGTCTCTGGCTTGATATTATCTCTTAGCTTTTAATTTGTCTCCCTGCTGATTTTGTTCTTGCCTCTTCTAGCTTCCCACCCTTTCCCCATAACACACATTGAAAGCAGTATCTGTGTAGAGAGTGGGGGAGAACTGAGGGTATTGGGAACATCCATATGGGCCTTGGTAAAATATTATATTTTCTTTATATTGCATAATAAAAAAATACAAAATTTTAGAGAAGATATAAATATTTAATTGTATAAACTTGCCAAATAAGGTCATTTGAGCTTAATACTCTATATAGCTTAAAATTTTTTTTTATGCTTGAGGTGACTACATACATTTGTGATCAAGATTTTTAAATGACGATATCTTCAATTTTTTTGTTATCCTTGAGAAAAAATTTTTATTTAATAATCTGTATTATGTTGTTCCTTTGTCATTTGACATGTCATCATCATATCTACTAAATATTATTCAAGAGCATCATTTTAATTTGCTTCTTTGTTCCCACAAAAAATTGTTGACAAGATTCATGCAGTTTGCAGAAGTGAACAGTTCTCAACTGTGTAAAGTATTTTGCTTTAGTATTCATTGTGCCATGAGATAACTGGCTTCTTATAAAAGAACTTTGTTTCTTCCATTTTTTGCCGAGGCTTAAAACTTCTAAATCTTTTTCCGTATCAGAAAGATATTTCACAATAATGTCTTGGTATAAGTTTGTTTGCCACTATTGCTAAATAAGAAAATACTTTGTATGATGAGAGAAACCTTATATTTTCTTCATTGGTGACTTAAACTTTTTGGACTCTGATTTTCTGACTTTAATTTAAAAAGTTGTTTATTATGTGGGAAAAAATAATACATGAACTAAATCTATTGAAATTATTAAGGTGAACTGTACGTTTTTGTGGCTTTAGTGAAATCATTTAAAAAATTATAACGTGTTTTTAAGAATGATTTAGAGCAATCATATTGTGGAAATTAGAAAAACAAAACTTGTAAGCAGAATAGGAGGTATTGAGATGTTGATTTATTTAATTTTAAAACAAAAAAATTCAGAAAATACAGAAAATATTTTTTACGCATAAATAAGTATTTTGAAAATAGGTTTCTGAAGCCATAATATAAAACACCTTTAATGATTTGTTTTAAATTCATTAAATTGAGTTCAATTGAAAATGAGTAATGTGTCTGTCCAGTGTGGCGGACCTTTGTTTATAAAGGCAAATAATTTAGAAATAATGTGCATTTTTTTTTGATAGGCAGAAATAATTCATTTTGATTTCTATCAAGAATTAGACCTTTATTAGTTTTTAAAATCAGAAGCCAATAAGCCAGCAAGCAATATGGAACAACCAATCCATAAAGTAGCTGTCAAAAATTAACAAAGTTAATCATTTTTTTCTTAAAAAACCCCTGATACTAGATAATGGTGAGAAGAGCAGTCATATATTATGTTAGAAAAAAAGTTGAAAGAAAGCTAAGCATCTTACATGTGCACGTGTCAAACGAAAGTCTCACTGAAGACAAACTGATTGCAAACACAGTGATGAGCTAGCTAGGATGATGCAGCGGAATGGTCAGGGAGAGAAAAAGGTTAAAAATTAGCGTTTTGTCGCCCACTTGTCGTTAACCTTTTGCAGCACACAGGAGTTGAGAAGTTTTGCCCTAGAATCTTTTATTTGCTCAGCACCCAGAGTTATCTTGTAGTCTTGCTCTAAAATTTCCAGTGGCTTACAGTCACATTTGGAATAAAAATCAGATTTATAACCTTAGCTGTAAAGGTTCTACATGTAGGACATTGCCTACAAAAGAAGTTATACTTGTTTGTAGGGCATTCCAAGCTTGCTGCATCTCAGGGCCTTTGTATGAGCTGTTCTCTCTGCTTAAAATCCTTTCTCCCAGATCTTTGCTAGACTCACTTTTTACATCATTTAATTATCTATGTCTGGGTAACTTCTTGAGAGGCCTTCCAGTTTTTTCTTTTTCTTTTTCCCTTTTCATCATTTCTTACAAAGTTCTCCCTTATTTTTTCTTGAATGTTTTTTCTTGCTGTACATATATTTTCCCCCAACTGATTAAATCTCTTTCTCCTCCTAAAGTATACTTTAGATTGCTAAAGTATATTGTTTATCTCTACTAAACACTTTGCAGTGATTTTCCCATCTCTCAGATAAAAGTCCAAACTCCTTAATGTGACCTGAAGCCAACATTGTTCCATAACTCTAGTCTTAACCTCTTACCCATTCTCTACACGACTTTGTATGGCATAGTTTCATTCAGTTTCTTTAGTTTCTAGACTAAGCCATTTTTTCTTTGAGTATGCTCTTCTCGGTAACTCGGCCAATTTTGTTCTGTGTCAGTTTAATTCTTACTCTACTTAGGTTTTAGGTTAGACATCACTGCCTATGCAAAGCCTTTTCTGAATTCCATGGTCTGAGTAAGGTGCCCTTTTTTTTCTATGATACCCTGCTACCTTGATCATACTGTGTTTGAATAGCCCTTTTCTTATTTTTTCACAGGAATATGTGCATTTTTTCTTAACCTTATTCCTCATTTCAGTCCCCAGTGGCTGGTGTGTACAAATCTTCAGTAAATATTTGTTGAGTTGAATGTTTCTGAGGATGCCACAGTTCTTAGCATCTATTTCAAATATTACTTTAGTTATAATATAGTTTTGGTTGGTGGAAGAAGAAAAACAGTTTTTAATAGCTAATGTCTGTGTTGGGTATTTTTATTTTTTTATAAAATGTTTTAATTTTTTTATTGCCGTTTGAATAAAAAATATTATTTCCCCTCCCATATAGTTAAAGCCTTCCATCTTAAATATGATGAAGTCCGTCTAGATCCAAACGTTCAGAAATGGGATGTAACAGTATTAGAACTCAGCTATCACAAACGTCATTTGGATAGACCAGTGTTCTTACGGTTCTGGGAGACGTTGGATAGGTAATTCTGATCCTCAAATACACTTACTTCTGCTTTATTGTAGTAATTTTCCTATCTACTTGTTAGAGTTTAAGTTCCTTAAAGTTATAAACCATATCCCCCAGTTCTCTTTTTTGAACAATGTTGAATTTGATGCTGATCTACAGTAGATAATTTAACAAACATCTTTGTTATATTGACTTGAGATACGGATGGAGAAAGGGCTTCTTGCTTGGTAGAAACAGCACACTAAACTCTGAATCAGAAGACCTGGATTTTAGTCTTGAATCTGTGATCTGGCTGTGATGGACTACGTGACCTTTCTGAACCTTGTGTTCTCTCTACCCAAGTAGCTTGGATTAAGTGAGCCCGGTGGTTTTTGTCAGCACGAAAAGGTCTCCGACTCTGGATTTGAGTTGTGGGTAGTTCATGAGAGGCAGTTAATTTTTGAATTTGTTTTAATTACTAGTATAGAGTTCTTAAGGTCCTTTACAACATCAGTTTTGTAATTGGAAGATTTAAGAACAGCACGTGATCACAGTTAATCCCTTTGAATCTGTTACTCTCTTCGAGGCGCCCTTTCTTGGAGAAAGGTTGAGTCGTAACTTTCTTGGTCTAAGTTCCTCACTAAATACTATGGGTTTTCTCGAAGTTAGAGGTGACTGAGGAAATCCAGTGATGATAACATAATATATAAAGAGAAACATTTATTATTATGGCCAGAAACTCTTAGACTATAGATTTTTATTAGAGGAATGTTCCTTCTAGCTTACTTTAGCAGTCCTTATATTCCCAAGGGTTACAGTAGCAGCTTTTCAGTATTTTAGAAAACAAAAAATCCTGTTTCACTACTGATTTTAAGTTAATTAAAAAAGTCAACTTATTTTACCTGTAATAGTCTAAAAATTCTAAAATTCCTGTAACTTATAACCTATTATAATATTATTTTTCAGGTACATGGTAAAGCATAAATCCCACTTGAGATTCTGAATTACTTGGGTTTCCCCTTCTTCTGGAAATCTGGATTAAGAAGCATGGATATACCTTGATCTAAAGACTGAGAGTCAAGCTTTATGAATTTATCAAAAACTTACAAACGAAGAAGGTCACAGATCGATCAAAGACCTCATTTGATGCTTTATGCTTCAAAGGGATGATGCCTGTCATTCATATAAGCAAACTTTTTTGGCTTATACCTATTTTTTTAATATTAGCCTTCTAGTCTGTAATGGAAATTGTATATTTTGATAGAAGTTTTTTCTCCATTGGTTAAACTAGCATTACTTAAAATTTGTTTCTTTAGAAAATAAAAACAGGTTATACATGTGTGTATATTTAGAGGTTATAAGGCTGCCTAAGCCATCTTGCTTCTGATTTTTCATTGCTCTACTATTCCTTTTATTGAAAATACTATGTTATGAATGATATTAAATTTTTAGTTTCTGGAACTTACAAAACCAAGCAAAGGGATGTGACTATTTTGAATGAATCAAAATGTCAACCTGTATGTATACTATATCAATACTTTTTATTTAAAAAGGAATAATGAAAAATCAAGAACAATTCTTCATCTTTGGTTGAACTGTTCAGCCTTTTCAAGACTTCTTTACTTATATTGAATACATTTAATGAATGTACATTCTTCTCACTGACTTTGGTGATTTTAAAACTTAGAATGATATATTTCTATCTGTGATATATTTCCACTTGAAAAATCACAAAAACAGATTAAAAACCTAATAGCTATAGTACTTTTTATTTTGGGAGCTAGAGTATGACTTGGTGGAAGGAAGTGTATTAATCCTACCGTAGTGAAAATGAAACTTTGACGACTTTATCTTTCCTCATAAGTCCACCTCTCATTCTTAACTTACTGGGTGTGGGGTTTAGAGTCTTCTCTTTCTAGGCAAGTTGATCTTGGAGTCCTTATCTTCCATTATCCCTAAATATTGATAAATTCTCCCAGGCACCAAAGAACACATTTGCTTAATTGTCTGAACAGAAACAAGATAAAAACACTGGTATTTTTATGTGCATATTCAATATTGTATGAAATATAAAACCTATATTTTAACTTAGTAAAATATTTTACTACGTCTCTACTTTAGACAGAGTGTTGCATCCAAGATACAATGAAAGAGCATTTTCCGTGAGTCTGAATTTCACCTTTTACTGCTTAAAAGCAACTTGGAACCTTTACTCCCCTAAAGAATTTCTGCCATTAGAATTGTTGCTGATCATTTTGTATCATTTTTACCCTGCCTTCCCTCCCAGTGTCTCTCTTAGCTATATCTGTCTGTATAGACAGATATATGTAAACATTTAGCTCCTTATGTTGACATTACCTGGCCTCATTTTGAAATTTAATGCTATCATAAAAATGAGAAGCACTTATTATTTATTTTTTAAGTAACCATGAAAACTCCATATGGAATTTGCTAGGTTTTTGAGAAGAAAGCCAGTCAGCATTTAAAATAGATTTTAGGGTATTTATAAGGTTTGAAGAGATCTTGCTCCCCCTCTTTCTTCTCTGCATCCCCTCTTTTTGAAAATAAAAGGAAACTCAAATTTGTTCACATTAGAATATCTCAGCATATAAATCTGTTTTCAAAATAATGTATTGTATAAACGTTCTCCATGATGAAATAGTCAAGAACTAGAATCTGTAATATTTTAAATGTAAGATTACTTGTTAAGACTACTACAAGTGGACATGAACTACCTTTCTATAAAGATTTTTAGTATTTATACTTATGTCATGTATGAAATTTACTTGATACAGAGTGTGGTTAAAATTGGGAACATCTTTAAACAGGGTTTATTTTTCTATCTTGAATTTGCCTTATATATATTCAAAGGCTTCTGGAAATACAATACTGTAAGGAACATTAGGAAAAGTACAAATATGCTATGCCATGTCTTTTAAAATCGGACCCTTACTATGCACTTGTTTTATTTTTTGGCAGTTCAGTCCCTTATTTAGGTCTGTGTAATTAATTTTAAAGCTGTTAATTCTAAAAAAAAAAAAAAAAGTCTTTTAGCCATTCACTGTTTGCTCTCATGACTCCAAGTCCTACAGGCAGCACCTATCACAGTGCCTTGCACATAGTAGGCAGTTAGTAAATATTTATATACATGAACGAATAATGTATTTTAATGTAACTGATTCATTTCGAAAGTACTTTGACTATACTTGGTTTTGGAGTTTGAAATTTCAGAATTACAGGGAATGAAGAGGCATATGCAGATATTTTAATGGAAATGAAGTACACATTGACAAACTTGACTTACCCATGAGTTACTGTTAACAGGAGACCCCCTTGTCTTTTCCCACTGGTAAAGGGAAGCTCCATTTATATATTCCTGGAATGTTCTTCTGAGTCAGGTAAGGGTGAGCAGCTTGTAGGTTTTGATCAGCTCTCAGCCCTGACTGCACATTAGAATCATTTGGGGGCCTTTTAAAAATACCGTTGCCTGAATCCCGATTCTGATTTAATTTGTCTGGGACGAGACCTAGTTGTCAGTATTTTTTAAAAGTTCTTCAGGTAATTTTATGTTCAGAAGAGATTAAGAATCACTGGTTAAATTGTTTTGAAAATAATACCAGTATTAAATGTTATGTTTTCTCCTTTTTCTTTCTTTTTTTTTTTTATGGCCACCCTTTGCACTAGACCATCTCCTGTTTCGGTGGCATTGGCCTAAAGTTCCACATGACAAGTTTTATTTATTTAATATAGGAGTATTTTGCTGTTTAATATTTAAACAATGTTTAATATATTTCATTATAAACTAGTATTATAGTTTATGATTTGTTCCCCATGTGTCCATATCCTTTACTGACTTTTTTTTTAACAGCAGCATGACAACAATTCATACAAAAATAACTAATTCATAATGAGGAAAATTTCATAATTTTTAAGGTAGAAGGAAGTATTAGTTTCTTATCTGCCATGCAGAATTAGATAGTTTGCTTATGAAAAGAAAGAAGCATCTTTTTAATTGGTCTACATAGAAAAGTAAAAGTAAATTATTCATTTAAATAAAATTCATTATCTAATAAACATTGAAGGAAATATTTTTCCTAAATAAAATTTTTTGTGACTCTTAACAAAATTAAAGCGATGACATTGTTCTTTTTTTGGAAGGTGGGGAGTGGGTATTTAGTTGCCATGTTTCTTACTGTATGACAGTAGTTCCATTTTGTCAGTGTCAACAATAGAAACGATGATAGGATATACGTACATGGCCGGAAATAAAGTACCACTTTGCCAGATACTTATCTAAGTCTTACTTGTTGAGCTACTTAGTTTATAAAATTGTGACCGTTATATTTTATAATATTAAAATTCAATTACAAAAGCTGGTCAAAATGAAGGAAAACATAAAAAAATAAATATAATTACCTTGGCCTTAATATTGCTTGACAGAATTTTTATTATTCATTGGGTTTTAATATTCAACTGGTTAATCGTAGCATATAAACTTTAGAAATAAAGGGAGAAATGACTGAATTTGACTTAAGTGGATTAGAAATTTTGAAATGCCATGTCTTATATGTCCTGGCCTATTCACTGCCACATTTGGATATATGTTGACCCCAGCATGGTATCTATATTATGTTGGAATAATAACTAAGGGAAAATTGGAAATGTATAATAGATGTATAAATAATTTTATTTCGTAAATGCATAATAGGTAATAATACAGGTTATTGATCTGTTTGGGTTTATATGTATTATTTTAGGTAGTGTTTATAAGAGTTTCTCGGGAGTTATAAATGTGTGCCATTTAAATGAGTAAAGCTAATGAAATAAACTAATTTTATCAAAATTTAAAAGGTGATACTATGTCAAATTTAAGTAAATGATCTGAATTCTTTTGCCATTGGATTTCTTTTTTATCCATTTAAAATTTACTAAAAACTACTGAACCTCCCAAGTTTGATTATAGTGCTTAATATATAAGGCAGTTCCTTCTGTACATGGTGTGGGCACTATTAGTGTTCGCTCACCAATTTGTACTGTTTCTCAAGAAAACTAGTTATTGAACGGAGCTTAAATTTGGGCCGTGTGACTTGATAAAATGTTATTCATTCTGATTCCATTTCAGTGGAGTTTTACGTTTCATGCTTAATTGTAAATAAAATATTTTGCAGTACATTCCATTAATAGTTTTGGGCGATTCCCGGCCCTCCCGTACCCCAACTCCTCAAATCTCCCAGCCAAAAAATCATGTTCAGCTAAGAAGACGGAAACTGCATTGTGGGGCGGGATGCAGATGATGACTTTTACTTGACCCTATTCCTGAGGGTTTCCAGGCACGGTGTTTTCTGGTTTGGGGAACACCGTCGACCCCTGAACAGCGTGGAGGGGAAAGCGCCCGGAACTTTGCAGGCGAGCCGGCCCAGCGCCTGGCGGGTCCGACCAGCGGCGCGGCAGCGCTCCTCCCGAC